AAATTATTATTTATACGGGATATACAAGAAAAAACTTTTTTTAAATTATTATAAACTGCTTCTGGTAAATTTTAGACAAGTTTTTCGCATCAAAAGTTTTATTGAAATATATTGCTTAAATTGTTTAAACACCACATTTTTTATTAAATAATTAACACTATTAGAAGATAATCTTAACACTCTCTAAAATTCACTTTGTGCTGATTACGTGTCGCTGATTACAAGTTCCGTGCATTTAATATATTATTTATTGAATGTCTGCATTTTATTATCTCTAGGACAGGCGAAAATGTAAAGTTATTCTTTTAATTAACGCCTTTACTCATATATTTTTCTCTTTTATTATGAAGACATACTAGTAATTTCCTTTTAACTTCGCTGTAAGAGCAGCTGGTGCTCGGCGTTGAAGGAAGTTTGAATGTTTTAACAATTAGAAAGCCAGAAATTAAACATCAAAGACGAGGATTTTTTTATGAAGTACAATATATAAAAAATAATATTGTGTTATTAGCATTTTTATAAAATCATACACGACATGAGTTTTATTTTCATACGTTGTTTCATTGGCATACTCGTTCGAAATACGAATTATCGGTGGATATATTTTTTAGAAGAAAAGAGATATATGAAAAGAATGTAGGCATGCGAATCTTTTACGTTTATCTTATAAAGTCTTGTGATGTGCTTATCGGAAAATAATATAATAGATTCGATTACATCCACTTCTGAAACACGTGAGCAAGAATTCTAAAACATTAGAAAAACATTCTGCCGACCGCATGAAACATTCTGTCGCGGTTCCCTTGTCGCATCTGTAGCTCGGTTCGGGACACGCTGCATGTAGATTCGCGCAAGAGAAAAAACAGAAAAGAGAACCGGAGCTCGCGGTTGGTTCGTTTGCGTATCAATAAAAGAGCGAAAATGTGCTTTGGAAGAGTGAGTCAAAGATGTGAAGAGTGCACGCTAACGTGTGCAGATTTATTGAAAAACATTTTGCGCATGCAATTGCCGCGCCTCTCGTCCCAAATCCGCATCTTTCTCTCTATTTTTATTTTATTTTTATTTTTCTCCATTCGTTCTGTTTAGCGGTTCTACATGCACGCGGGAATTTACATCGAAGCGCTTGAAAAAGTCATGCATCCCACCAGACTGCGTCGTTGTATCTTGAATAAACATTTTCTTCTGGTAAGAAAGAGCAAGGTGACATATGTATACGGTCCTTTTACGATTGAATTTTTATTGGCACTGGAATTTTGATCAGACTCGCAATTAGATAGCAATAAATTTCTCGGGTACTTAATAAATATAAAAGAAATACACGCACAAAATTAAATGGAAACACAAGCGCGTTATTATTTCATATTTTCTATTTCTTGAAATATTGATTTCTCGCTTCCGCTACTCTCCTCGGGCTTGCGGCTGTACAAGGATCTTAATGGCTCGATTTTATGGAAATCGCTGTAAGCTTCTGCCAGCTGTTTCCATTACGTCTCCGTTATGTTCTGTAAAACCTTCGCGCCTTCCGCTCGCAGTTCTTACAACGCGTTCGGGTAAGAACGTCATAAAAGAATTTAATCGAAAAAGATAATTCAACGGAGAGCAAGGGTCTGTCTTGATATTCGCAGTACATGTGTCAGATAAAAAGTATATTAAACGAGCGATAATTCAGTTCTCCGGAAATGAGTCTTCCGTCCTTTCTTCTTGTCAAAAATACGAAGATATCGCCTTCCGCCCGCGTGTTTGTAAAAGAAACATTCGGATTAAAAATCAATCGCGCTGCTTCCGTTCGAACGAGATACAATCGATCCATCCTTGAGACTCATTGCAGCACAAGCGTCTTTTCATAAAAGGTCGTTGCACCTTGAAAGTTCACTATGAATCTCTAATATTGTCAAAAATTAGGTGAGAGGAGATACACCGCGGTATCGGACGGGAGAAACGCTGAGATTTGAGCGACGGCAAATCTTCATCTCTCGGTTCTCGAATAATAAATATGCATGCCGCTGAGAGGCATTAGCGGGAAGTAACTCTTTCCTTTGGAGAAATGTAAAAACATGCGCGGCGCATCTAACCGGGAAAGTATTGTTGTTCTGTGTGATGCGCTTTTATATTCTCCCGTAAGATGCTCCGTCCAGACTCTTAAGATAAATGACAAAAGGAAGCATGCTTTTAGCAACAATGAACGGTAGACCATTTGACGTTATCAATATCGGTTTCGATTGTTCATTGATAATTTGATCTCGGCGACAATTTGCTCGCGACGTGACGTCGGGGTATTTCCTCAAGATATAAATGTTCTTCGAACATATTAAGTTTCTGAATTTCATAGTTTCGAACGAAGCGAAATAAGATGTGGCAAAAAACATTGCATAATCTCGCGAAAATATATCATGGCGCTAATCCCATTGAATAATATGGATAACCCGTCGAGTTATGCACTGTGAAGGAGAACGGAAGGAACGAATAAACGAAATGAGAGGAGGTGGAAAGAAAAATAGGATTGAGAGAGAGAGGCGATTTATAGGAGAGACAAAAGGAAGAGAAAGCTTGTTTGAACGAAATATTTTAGATTGTATGCCTTTACGTGACGTATAACGATCGTAATCGATCTTGAAGTATGTCTCGAAAGAAAATTATATGTAATAATACACAATATTCGTTGGCATAAAAATATCAAATAGAATTGTTGTAATTTTATTAAACGAATGTTTTAACCAAAATTTTCATAAGATATTGTTTAATCGCTTAATACGTTCTAATTGAAACGTATCAAGAATGCTAAATAGTAATGCTGATGCACGCTGACGTAACAAATGTATTATTACTATAACAATGATAATTTTATATTTTAATTTTTATTTGATGTTATAAGTGCTTACATAATATCATGTAAAGTGAGGGATAATTATTACTTTAAATCATATGTTGTATTATCATATGTTTAATCTCGATGAATTGTTTTTTATATCGACACAGCTTGTCGAATAATTTGAATAATGTAAATAAGTTACGTAAATAATAAATAATTATCCTTAAAGCACTTATTACAATTAAAAATAATTATATCATTAAATGATAGAAACAAAATAAGTATTAAATTTTTTGAGACGATACTCCTTTATTAAAAAAGCTTTTTGTTTAATTCTTACTATTTTATTAAGCAGATCTTTATTGGTTCGTTTGATATTTTACGTGCGTATGTATTTATTACGTCTTTATGATTAGAGAATAGATATCACCGTTTATGATCTCTATTAGTTGTCCAAATTTTAGAACTTATTTCACGTTATCTGATAGCAACAGATAAGCAACGGAAATTCCGTGTACGAATGATAAACGTCAGCAACAGCAAGCAAGCATAACAGTCTTGTTGTTTCACTATTCATTGTCAGTACAGCCACGAAACGACTTGTTAGAACGTTACAATGAACAGATCAAGAATATTTCGACACTGTTTTTCTGAAAAGTACGACACGGCCAAAGATGGTTAAAAAGAATTTAGGCCAATGTGTTAAATATTAATAAGTAAATATATTAATATATAAATAAATGATACATTAAATATTCACACACGAAGAAAACTTTAGGCAAAAAATAATGCGTGGTTGTAAAAATTGGCAAATTAAGTTCTGTATACAATTGAGTTTAAGAATATACAGGGTGTCGGATTCGATTTGGACGACTCCAAAGATTACAGTAGATTGGGTCAAGCTGAGAAGAAAAGTTATATACCATTTTACAAAATTAGTAATTATTATCGCGTAATTAAGAAAAACGTCTGCGCCAATAAGTGCACGGAGGAACTGAAGGCCGGACTCGGCAGACATGCAAAATGGTGTATTATTCTCCTACCACCAGAAAAACTTTTTCGGCGCGGTGTCATATGTCGCGCGTTCGCTCGCTGCGCGCCGTTCGCCCTCGTCTCTCATCGATCGATGCGTGACTCCACCTCTCGCTATCGGATCTTGAGAAATGTCAACAAATACACCATTTTGCATGTCTGCCGAGTCCGGTCTTTCGCTCCTCCGTGCACGTATTGGCTCAGACGTTTTTCTTAATTACGCGATAATAATTACGGATTTTGTAAAATGGTATATAACTTTTCTTCTCAGTTTAACCCAATCTACTATAATCTTTGGAGTGGTCCAAATCGAATCCGACACCCTGTATAACTGAGATAACAGTAACGATTTAGACGTACATTATCGGGTAATTTATCGATATTTATCCATTTCAAAATTACTACGACTAGATAATACGATTAGATACGGTATCAATTTTCATCCAATAACAATGTCATATACCGAAAACTTTACTGTGGAGCAGATTAAATGATTTGGAGATATTAAGAAAATATGTTTTAGAACTAATAATTATTTGTTGGTTCGTATATTCGAAAAACATGTCTAAGTATGTCAAAAACTACCATCATCTTCATTTAAGTGCAGGCTTTTAAAAAGAGCAAGTTGTCTAGAAACAATATCTTTCACGTGATAGAAAAATGAAATAGGACGCACACGATAGATCAGTTTTGAAGCAGATAAGAAAATTCAGTAAAATGTTGCTTTCCGCGGACAAATTGCTTGAAAGAAAGAGTCACAGTTAAGAAATTTTAGCTGGACCAGTGGCAAAACTTAGTAAAAAAAAGGAACGATTTACAAAATATCGGTGACAATCATATAAGAGTTGTAAATCTCTGTCTTTGTCCATGTTTTCGTTCGTTAGATGTTAATGAAAGACAACCGAAATTACATATCTAATACCATCGTTAAACTTTACTTAGTTATAAATAAATGTTTTGATATAATCGGTAATTATGCTCCATATACATATATATTTGTGTATTTCTTATTCGGTTTGCACAGTTGTCACGTTTCTCGTGTCTCGTGGATTGTTCATGACGGAAATTCGATGGTTGAATTCGCGATTCGGATATAATTAACATTCATGACGGCGCAGTTCAATCCAAGTACTCGTACGCAGAAACAACGCACTACTAATTTATACTTTTAGTAACTCTGTTTATTAGTAATCAGTAATTCTACAAATCAATTTTACATGCGTAAATATGCTCTAATAATTTGTACATTCCTTCTGTCTAGATTACTTTATGCGTATTAAAATTATTATTTTCAATGATATAGCTTTTCGAAACGACCTACACTGGCCAATTTTTTTATTTAAAAAAACCAACGACGTTCCCATTGATCTCATATCGCTCGTTTGGCCAATATCGTTATGTTAATAAGATATTGATAAAAACATAATTGCACTCTTTGGTTGAAGAGTGCAAAGTCAATTTTGGTTGCGTCGTTAATTTTGTGACACGAGTAAAAATGTCGAGGGTGTTCGTCGAGATGTCGGATCGAGATCAATGGCTATTGTGTGAAAAGAATACTTGAGAAGGGTCCGAACCCGGGACCGAAACGTCGTTGGTTTTTTAAATAAAAACATTAGCAAGTGTAGGTCGTTTCAAAAAGCTATATCATTGGTTTTATATTACTAGCGATAATAAATCTATTCGTGTGAGTTACAATATTATTTTCATTTTTCTAAAAATCTCTAGCAACAAGATGATTTACGTGCTTACGATGTTTTAATAATGTATATAATTCAACGCAAGTAACTCGAAAAAATACTTCGCAACTGTTTCTTCGCGATTTTCCCGGTAATTGTATGCGGAAGTTGATCCATGAACTTGACACCACCCCGGAGTTTGCAGTGATCCGGCAAATTCTTTTCCACTAAACTCATAAGTTCTTGCTCCGTTACCTGTGAACAGAACATTTGATAAATGAATATGATGTCCGCTGCTAGTATTATCCCAAAAAGTAGTTTTAAATACTTGACGTGTGTTTAGTGTATAATATAATATAATATAAATACTTACCGTTTTGTCTGGCACGGTAGAGACGACAGCCATTGGATGCTGTTCGTCGATTTCATGAGGTATTCCTATTACCGCTACTTGAAGTACTGCGGGATGATTCTGTAAAACACTTTCGATTTCCGCGGGCGAAACGTTGACCGATCTAAAGAGAATGAAATCCGATATTCTACCAACGACGAAGAGTTCTCCGTCTTCGTCGTAAAATCCCAAGTCGCCACTGCATAACCAACCTGTCGATTTTGGTCATTTATTGTTTCTCTATAGCACTTGTTGGTCATCTAAATATTGCTGACTGAAAGTTTCGATCGAGAGTTTCAATTACATACCGTCAGAATCGAAAGCTTTTTTGGTTGCCTCGGGGTTGTTATAATAGCCATTCATTACGAAGGGCACTTTAACACGAATTTCTCCAATTTTATTTGCTCCCAAGGCTTTGCCGGTTTCTGTATCCGACACTTTTATTTGAACATTATGTGCGGGATAACCAATCGATCCCGGTTTACTGTCCTCATCTTGACCAGTGAGTTCACCTGCTGAATCGGTAGATCCTGGCACGAAGCATTAATGGTTACATTAATAAAATATTAACAAGAAAACAGCTTGAGATTTCACCCTTGCGTAAATAATTTCAAGAATATCTATTTAATTTTTTTAGTAAGTATCAATTTTCTTTTTTTAAGTTACTGGAATAAAGAGCATTTTTAAGAGTCAGAATTTAACTTATTTATTATTATCAATTTTAAATATATTAATTGACGTGGTCATGTTAAAAAACGTAAAAGGTAAAATTTGTGACAGATAGTTTTGAAAAATATTATAGTCAGATTATAGTTAAAAATA